AGTAAAAGCTTTAAGGGATTTCATGTGACCGCACGAGTGCCCAACTCAAGCACTACTGTCGGCAAATTCACCGCAACCGCCAATACTAAAGTCCTCACATGTAATCCCACGTCTGTAAGTGTCATCGCTTTGTGTCATAATTATCTCAATATTTCTTAATAATAATTGTTTTCAAATTGTTTGTAACGCTTCCAGAATGCCATAACACATAAGAATAATGATGATAAAAGTAGCGTTACATTCAATTGGACGGCACCCAAGAAATTCAAAGGCAAAGTCGAGTTCAGGTAAGAATTCGTTGGAATTTTTGTGTTTTATTTAAAATATTCTTTAAATATTCCTTCCCTTTAGAGCAACCATTGTTAAGGAATTCAAGGAATTCTATACTAATGTCAGATCAGCTCAGGTGACCATTAGTTAAATCTAATCCTGTTTTCAGTTAAAGACTTATTTTTACAATAATCTCTTTTAAAAGTTAAAATTTTATATTAATTATACAAAATTTTATTACAAATATAATTAAATGTTTTAAATGAAAATTCAATTGTAAAACTGAATGGCAAAATTAAATTATAATTAATGATAACACAATTACTTGTGATTTTAGTCAAATATAACATTTATTTATTACAGTTAGTTATAATTTTTACTTTTTAATTTTATTTGAGTTTAAGTTAGCCAAATAAATTAAACTTGGTTAAAAGATTTAAGTTATTCTTTGTTCCCAAAAATATCCCATTCGTTACCTCTGTTTATGGCTTAATCGTTAAGCCATTAATATTTACGGTATTCAGGGTTTTAAACTGTCTTTAGTGCAGACATATTGACTGCAATGAATCCATCATCGGTTTAGGCATCCATTTCTTATTGATTCACAATAATATATAACATTTTCAGAATTGTATAATAAAAATATAATCTCAAAGTAGTGTAAACCACGGAATATAAGATAAAATTATTTATTTAATTGATTAAAAAATCAAAATAAATTGAATCAAACACGAGTTTATTCAC